TGTAGTCTTACATGACAAGAGAAAACAAGCGCGCGAAAATTCATTCATGACAACCGACTGCACACCAGTAACTCGATAAAGTTTCATCTTCAGACAACTCTGAAGACAGTTTCACATTTCTGGTAGAAGAACGTCGGCCATTACTTTGGAAACAATGTCTGTCAAAAGATTTGCTTTGTAAACATTAGCACACACCTCAACAGCATACACCCATGGGCAAATAGTAGACGCTAAATTAACCAATCAGAGCGCGCGCTTTGCTTTAGTTATGTTATAATGCAAGATCTTAAACGGTCAATCAAGTCACAATCAAATAATGATTTCCTTTCAAATACAAGCAGATGTGCTCAGTCTACCAACTTCATATCTAAAGACCATAGATTGGTTATCTCTGAAATAATTGAAAACAAACAGGCGAATAAGCGAGACTTGTCATATACTTTGACATCTGTTCAGTGTCTTGAAACTTAATGTTTAATGTTTCTTCAGTTTTAAATTCAAACTTCTTTGGCAATTTGCAGTACGGTTGATCCTCAGTTCTGGCAAAGAAGGCTGCTACTGAAATTTCCAATTTTGCTCTCATAAAATAAAATCGTCTTATGCCACACATTCAGACAGTGCTGGTTTACTGAATTGTTTGCTTTCGTTTTTTTCGCCCGTGTTCCTTGAAGAAAGCAGTTACCTTAACCCAGTTAAAGTACTTTGTTTTCCTTATGTTCTGGGATAAAACCCTAGTTTGTAGCCATTCAAATGAAGGCTATTGCACAGTACTTACATGTGGTACTGTCTGTTTTCCACTATTTTTCGAAAAGTGATGTGGGATTTTTTTAGTTTTTAACAGCACTCGTCATTCCTGGAATCTGCTCGGTAGCATATCTGTAATGGCGTTACGAATGCGTCTTATCTTCCAGCAGTAAAACGCTGGGTTTACCAGCGAATTCATGAACAGAATGGTGTGAGTGATGTTGAATGCTGCTTTGAAACGCTCATCATTTGATTGTACCACGACCAACACAATGTTTAGCACAAGATATGGCGAGTAAAACAGCAGCATTAGAAAGACCAGCATGACAACAGTGCGAATGGAAGACTTGTATTTGGCAATGTTTGATGCTTCGGCCAGTTCTTGACTTTGTAATTCTCCAGTGTGGAGTTCTACCTCAACTTTAGTTTGGTGTTGATGAATCAAACGGGTTAGCTTAGCGTACGCTAAAGTGGTTACAGTTAAGCAAAGTGCTAGCAAAAAGATCATGCAGTACAAAAAACTAACCGGGTCAATGAAGAGAGGGATGGATAAGATAATTCCTAATAACCAGAGTAGTACCACTATCTTGGCAGTCACTCGAATGGTGACCACAGTACGGTAACGTACGCTGAGGACAAGAGCCAATAGCCTGTCGATACTGATAGCCGTGAGCGTGGTTAGAGAAACTGCGCCCAGTATTGAAGCGAGCGTCTTGCTGCCGAGTGAAGCTATGCAGTGAAGCTTTATGTTACCACACATAGCAGCGATTTTGTGAGCCACAAAAACAGGTTGAACGAAAAATCCCACGCCAAGGTCGGTCAGAGCTAAATTGCAGAGCAGCAAATTCGACGGAGTGTGCAGTTGAGATGTTCTCCACACGGCGACCATCACCAAAATGTTTAACACGCTCGCTGGCACCGCACAAACAGAGTTCAAAACGATGCTCAAAATATACGTGCTGTAGAAATTCTCAACCGCGCTCTGGCTGTAATCAACATAGAAACAGTTCATGGAAGATTGAGTCTGGCTGGAAGAATTCACCAAAGTCTCATTCCATTCGCTTGAATTGCATTGTGCCATTTCTGCGCTATGACTGGAGTAAAACGATGCGTTGACTTGGACCAGATAATGCCGCAATATATACCGCCGTTAAAACTAAATTTAGTACCTCTTTGTGGTTTTGTAGACTTATTATGTTTTGAAACAATGGAATATGGTATTGAAACTTTAAGTATCTTTAAAGTGAATACCCATTAAGATTACACGATGAAATCCCTAGCAATGAACTGTAGACTCTTTTTACTTTACAGTATTTGTTCAGCTTTCAAGAATAAACGATTCAATTCTATTGACGGTCATCAAAGCACGTCCACAAAACATTTTGAAACGAAAATGACAGTTTCCTCGCGTTTGGTGCAATCTTAATAAAATGAAAATTTTGCTTAGAAAATTTCAAATCGGTCAATAACATTTACTTTCCGTGCCAAAACAATTTCTGCGAACTTCCTGCATTTAATTTGCACGGTTTTGTTAGCTGGAAATAGTGGCTTCGGCATTAACGCTACTATTAAAACGTTATTTGTTTTATGTCAGTTTCGGTCTGCTCTTTATTGATACATCTTTGCTACTCATATTTCTCGAGCGTTTTCCATACAGATATAAAAGATATTCTATATATTTACGAATGCAATGCCCTGGGATAGTTTCCGCGGGGACTTTTCTAGCAGATCTGCTATGATAGGAAGAAACTAAACGGAAGATATAAAGTTGCTTGTCGTATTTTCAAATGTTAAAATAAAATGTTAAATTCTTTGTGTACCTAAGGAAGATTGTCTCCAAAGCTAATATATTCTAATCGGCCGGGTGAGCCGTACAAAACAAATGCATGAAGCTTGTTACACAAATTTTGAATGGTTAGCTCGTTTACACAGCTTCTTCGGTCGCGAGTTCCATTTGTCGACTTTGTTGAACGGGTTGGAGGGGTGGGTCGTGGTAACAAGCCTACTCAGGGGTCCCTTGTGAGCAAAATCCTTCTTAGTATATTCATAAGATGGGTACAACCTGTAAGAGAAAAAATTGTATGCAACTGCAGTAAAAGACATGTGAGTAATTGAACAAAACTTGGATGGTGAGGACAACTATACTTCTACTTTAATGGGCGAACACAAACTTTCCACTCATCACGGGAAAATAATCTCGAACAAACATCGAAGTAGCAGGCAAAGTCTAATAATTGAGCGTGATAAATATAGCAAACTTTTAAGAACTCTCAAGAGA